TTAGTACAAATAAAAAAAATATATTGGACTAATTATTTATTTAAATTTATTTAAATTTTACTAAATTATATTTGAATATAAGAATTAGCTTTTTAAACAATTTTAGTAATATTTTATTGATAAAAATTTTATATAAATTAATCTTAAAATATTCTATATTTCATTAAAATTTTGTTGTACTAAATTTAGTATACTTTTAAAAAATTATACTATACAAAATTTTATAAAAATATAAAAAAAAATAAAAATTTTAAACTATTTTAAAACTAATCTTGATGTTAGAATAATTTAAAAAAATAAAAAATACTTTTTTAAAATAGTTTAAAAAACTTGTTTTTAGATAATACAAGTCTAAAAATAGTTAATTTTTTATTATTTTATATAATAAAACATAGTAAAAATATAGTAAAAAATTAGTAAACTTTAATTATTTATAACCTTTTATATATTTATCTAATTTTAATAATTTTATTATTATTAGAATTAGCAAAACTAGCTCTACAACATATATTAATAGGCTAAAAATTTTATCAAATAAAATTTTACTATTTATAATTTAATAATTTTTAGTAATTTTTTTTAAATTTTTAATACCAAATAAATTTAATTATAATTTTTAAATGTATCAATATAACTTTTGTCAAATTAACAAACTTCTAAATATGTAAAAGTAAAATAGAGATATAGGATTATATATTATATAAACTTAATTTCATATTAATAATAAAAATTTTTCAAAAAAATTTTTTACTATACTAAATTAAGTACATTGTACTAAATTTAGTACACCATATAGATACCCATTAAATATTAATCTTAGAATTAAAATTTAAAGTATAAATTAGAGGTTTGAGAAAGGTTTTTAAAAATATTAAACATTTTTACTTAGTATATCAATTAGTAAATATCTTATTCATTTTTGAAAAATAGCTGAAGTAAATTATCTTTATATAAATATAAACAAAATTTACATAAATTTTATATTTATATAATAATATATAAAAGAGTTTATTATTTAGCATATGTGTATTGTATTCTATAAGATCTGGTGTAATGTGAAATCAAAACAAACCAACAATATATTAATTTAGAATAAAAGTTAGCACTAATATAGGGTTAGGTTAGATTGTAGATAAATATTAGTTATATCCAAAATTTTGTAAGAAATTTTTTTGTTAGAATGCAAAAGGGTTTTATAAGCAAAATTATAAGTTACAAGCAATTTTTTCAAAACATCACTATTTTTTTCAATTTCATATTATACCTGATCTTATGATATGATTAGTCAATCAGGTGGATGCATTACAATACATGTGCATTAAATTATATAACCCTAAATAAAATTATATATAAAAATTACATAATTTACATATAAAAATTCTTATTATATAAGTCTATATTAGGTTTGTAGTTTTATATAAAAATTTTATATAATATTTAGAATTTAACTAATTTTAACCCTGGTTAAAATTATAAATTTTAACTACCCTTTATTTTTATAGAATTTTTTTATATTAAAAACTTATTATTTAAAGATTAGGATTAAAATATAGCCTATATTAAGTTAGAGTATGGGTTATTTATATACAAAATTAGATGCTGAAAACTTTTACTTAATAGCCCAAAGCTTGTTTTTCTAATAAAATTTTGCGATGTTGATAATTTTTCAATTTTTTACAAAAAAATTCTTTATTTTGTTACACAAAATCCTGTGATCTGATTGGTAAATCATAGAGTAGTTACATCACTAAGGGGCAAGTTAGCAACACTCTAATATTTATACAACTTTATAGGGCTACATAAAGTTTATAAAAAAAACAATTTGCTAATGATATGATAGTTGTCTAATTAAAATTATTGACTAAGCTTATAAAAAAATTTTTATCGACTAAAATACTACCAAATAATTCTTGAACATAGTTATCGACATGGTAAATGGATTGAAAAGGATGAATGTAAGCATTCATTTATTATTAAAAATCTGCTGATATAGAACTTGATGAAAGAATATTTAATGTTAGTTATTGTTATCGAAATGGAATTGGAATTGAAAAGGATGAATGTAAGGTATTTATTTATTATAAAAAATCTGCAAAAATTAGGCATGCTGGTAGAACGTATAATGTTGGATATTGTAATCAAAATGGGATTGGAGTTGAAAAGGATAAACGTAAGACATTCATTTATTATCAAAGATCTTTAGAGATAGACATGCTAGTGGAGCATTTGCTCTTGGTAACAGTTATAAAGATGGAATTGTTGAAAGAGATGAACATAAGGCATTCATTTTTTTCGAAAATCTGCAGAGATGGGTAATTCTAATAGAATATTCGGAGTTTGATATTGTTATGAAAAAGGAATTGGAGTTGAAAAGGATGAATATAAGACATTTATTTATTATCAAAAATCTGCAAAGAGGGATGATGCTACTGGAACGTCAAAAGCTGCAGAGTGTTATTAAAATGAAATTAGATAAGGCCAAATAATGGTATCAAAGGTAAACATTGAGTTTAATTTATTCAGAGATGTTGTGATACATCATAATCAAATCATAAAGTCAGATGTAATTAGTTTGTCAGGGTTAGAATTATAATAGAGTTAGGGCAGAGTTATAGCTTTTAACCTGACTCATGAGCAATTACATCTTATTTTAATGTATATTATATATTATCATATAAACTTTTATGATTATAGATTTTTTTTCTTGTTATACTATGATTTATTGGTACAGCACGTACGTACGTACATTAGGCTGTGAGGCTAATAAAGTCCCCAAAGGATCACTTTTTAAGAGAGCTAAAATGTATTGATAAGTGTTCTAAAAGATATAATAATGATGTTCTATCCAATTAAATAAAGATGCCACAGAGTTTAATCCAGAGCTACGATTGATGCTAACTTGTGCATGACCGTTATATAACATTGGCCTTCCAAAAGTGGATTCAAATTTTAATGGAATTAGAGAAATAATTTATAAGGTTATATTTATAAAGTTATGCCTTATGGTATTCTAGTTTTAAACGTATCAGCTGCAGATACTTGTAAGTTGAATCATTGTACCAGAGATGTTAACTGACAAAAAACAACAACCCAAATTAGTAATAAAAGACCTGCACCATAAATTGCTCCTGAGAATTCAGATTATTATATTGAATTTACATCAATAACATTAGTAAATTTTTTGGAGAGATTTTTTGGGTAGATTTTATTTTAAACTAAAAAATTAACAAGTCAAACATAAGTCTATCTATTTTATTTTTTGAAACATTATTTTTATTCTTATTCGTCAAATTTCAGTTTTGGTGCGGTGACATCGTGCAGCCATCTAGTTTTTTAATAACGATAATATTATTAAATAAATGCAATTAGCTGCAATTTTTATCTCTACTCGAACATTACCTTCAATTATCTCTCTACTCGAATACTACCCTCAAATTAATCTAACTTTCAAAGCTCAAAGCATTAGTATAATACTTTATCTTGCTTAAATCTACACCTTCTCGAATCTGATGAATAAAATAAATTTTATTATAAAACAATAAAATATATAAAATAGAATTTAATGAAATTCAGATATAATTAAAATAACATAAAGTAGCAGGTATTATAATCTAAAAAAGCCAAATAATCAAGCAATGGAGTGCATTATATGAAAAGTAAAAAATGGGAAAATGAGAAAAGATATGAGCAAAATCTTATAGTATCTATAAACCATGTTTTCAAAAAATTTATTTTGTTAAAAAGATTAGGGATTTCTCCCACTTTATTAGGCTTTTCTAAAAAAAATATCTTATGGATCATATATGAAGACAGGTAAAAAAAAACTTATTGAAATAAATAATAGTAAAAGTTTATAATGTCATGTCTGCAACTCTTCATGTGTACGTATACTAATGGAAGAATTCTATAATTACTTTCTTAATCACTGGTGTGTGTATTGTATATATAAAACTGATAAAAAATTGTTGGAACAGTTTTAAATATTTTGTCCATTTTTCAGAATGAAGTTTGAGATTGTAGTAAAGGTTTTTTCTCTTCAATCAGAAATCTCTCAGAAGCACGTCTTTTAATTCACTCAAAACTTTGCAACTTCAAAATTACTAGCCTGAGGTGAAATCTATATCTTTTAATACAGTTTACCGCTTCAAATTAATTTTTAAAACATATTGGTTTAAAAAATATTTAAACCAATATTTTTTTTTCAGATGTTACAGGCCATTACTCATGATTGAATTTACTTTAAGCCAAGTAATCTATTTGTGAAATTGCATTAAATGTTTTATAAATATAAAATCTTTTTTTCGCTACACCAGTAGTAAGGCCAGACCAAGTTGATTATGTGTTTTACATTACCCCTCCTCAGAGCTCCCCCCTCCCTCATAGTAAAAAAAATTTAGATAAATATACATAGGGCTACGGGGTATTTCGGAAAAGTTTTATAGTCACGGAACAATTCGGAAGAATTTTTTTTTGAAAAAAATTTTTTTAAAATTTTACTATGTGAACCACCCTCCCTCCCCCTCCTGGAGGGGAGAGGGGGGTAATGTAAAACACATAATCAACTTGGTCTGGCCTAATTATTGGTTTTGCTTCTATCTTTAACAATTAAATATCCACAAAAATTTATTTTTCATTTTTGTGATGGAATGGTTTCATGAACTTTGGAAAATAGTGACAAAGTGTAGTATAAAATGAAGTATAAAATGAAGAGAAAGATTAAACATAGCAGAATCTACGTATGACCATAATAAGTGATTATTAGCATGAAATTTTATTTTTATTAATTTTTTTTTTTGTTAAATTTTACAAGAAAAATCTTCAAAGTGGACTTAGTAGGATGAATATGGAACGAAGGCGCAAAGGAAACAACTTAAAATAAGGTAATGAACAAAAGTATTTTTTATATAAGTACATTACATACTGCAATTGACACGTATAATTTAATAAACTTAAAAGCATTTTCCACTTAAATTTTAAAAGTTAATCAAATGAGTAGTCTATTAACTCCTAAATATCTTGGAAGTTTCTATTGGTGTATGTAAGTTTTCATTTTTACATTCTTTAGAATTTTCATTTGGGTGTATCGTTTTTTTAATCAAACTAAAGCTTAAAGCTGGGCTTGATTTAATTAAAGTTCCATCGTCATTTTCTTTGATGTTATCTTTAATTAAAGTAACATATTCAAGTACGAGATATTGGAGTCATTTTTATTGTACCATATATTAAATTCTTTAGATATAGATTCATCTGTACATTCAGCCCCCATAAAATCAGTAAATTTAAAAGCTTCTGCGGCATCATTTTCTTTAGTGTTTTCGCGAAATGCTCCTTGAAAATATTTGTTCATGGAGAATGCTAGGCATCTATTAAGTAGATCTTTAATTTCTTCATAGCTTTTATTATCTATATCTTTGCAAACATGCTCACAGAGTTGTTCAAGAAAGGTTCTATAATTTTTTTCCATGTTTACAGTAAACTAGGGTAAGAAAAACAATCTAGAAGGGACAGGCTCAAAAGGTTCTTTATTTTCTGTAGTTTAATACTTCTCAGTAAAAGGTGAATCACAAATACGTACGCCGATTTGCCGCCAAAGAGAAACCGGACTTCAAGTTTATAAATTTTTAAAGCCTGAAGTTTGGTTTCATTTGGCATTGTTGTGTGTCAAATTAAAATTTACGTTAGATCAAAATCTAAACTTATGTCAAGCAATCAGGTATTAGCGGGATTATAATTATTTTAATTTGACGCAGCTATTACAGAGACCTCTCGAAATGCATTTCAAAAATATGTTAGATGACAAAATATATAGAGCTAATAAGTTAGGATCAGACTATATCGTGCATTTAAAAGCATTTTACATTTAAAATGGATTTATGGAGGATGCATTGAGATCTCTCTGTAGTTTGACGCACAACATTATAATTTAAAGCCTTCATTTCGTCGTTTAAAGAATTCTATTTTTAGGCTTCCTGGTTTTTACTTGAAGTTATTCGAATATAAGTCCATTTAAACTGACAAGTCAATTAAATTATTCTGTTTCTTGTTTATATTAGAATTTGAAATTTAAATATAAATTATTTCGTTTAAGATTATTCAGGCCCCCGAATAATATATATAAAGGTTATATTTGAATATCATATAAAATTTTTTTTTCATTAGCACTTTTAAACTAGTAGTTATTAGCAAAAATTTAAATATTAGATAAGATATTTTATTAAAATTAGCAATTTTTTAAATACAACATAATTAAAATAATTTTAAAATTAAAAATTAGAAAAATATAAACTTATAAAATTATAATTTATTAAATTTTATAATAATTTTAATATTTAATTAACTTAGTAAATTTTTTTAAGATATTAATTTAATTAATTTTTAATAATAATAAAATTTTAATCAATTTAATATAATACAAATGAGGTGATCAGATTGCATTCAGAAAATGTGTACCAAGTTTGTGATATAAGTTCAGTTTGCAATTACTCGAGATAAAATTAAATAAAAATAAATTATAAATATTTTGGCATTCCGCTTTCAAAATTATTTATATTGTATATTAAACTGTTGAGTTGAATTCAAGCTTTTTAAGAACTGGTTTTAGATTGATCTGAGGGACTCTTTAATATTTCTATTTTTTACCTGGTTTTTTTTTAAAAATATATAATAGTGTAGTGCATATTATTTTGAGATATAGTGTTATTTTAAACCAACATATCTATTTTTAGAAAGTACGATTTTTTAAATATCTTTGTTAGCTATATTGAGAATTTATAATATTAGTAAAATCGCTTAAAAAATTTTGTTAATTCACTAAAGGCATTTTCTATATAAAATTTTGATTCTAGTTAAATGAACATTTGCTTTAAATTTTTCTAATGTGCCTTGGATTTACAATTTGCATCACAATTTGGTACATATTTTTTAAGTGCATAAAGATCAGAGAATGAGATAATTAAATATTGCGGTTTGCAAAATTATATGAAATTTGAGGAGCATTAAAAAAAAAGTAGTCGCTAATTTCTGATTATTGATTTTTGATTTCTTTGACATTTTTTTTGACTTTTAGATTAAACTATTTGCGCATTTATTATTTTGTAAAAATTTGATTGAATATTTTAATGCGCAACACCTATTTCTGCAAATAAATTATGAAATAATGAATATGCAACTTTTATTCTATAAAAATACTTAAGTTTTACAAAATCATAAATGATCTAATCTAAAAATCAAAAAAATCCAGAATTAGTAATTAGTAATCAATGCTTACTTTTTTTTGATCTTTAAATAATAATTTTCAAACCGCTATTTCTGTATTTATAATATTGAAGTTCACGTATTGAAACTATATTTGCTTTAGTAAATTTAGTTTCATTATTTGTAATTTTCATGATTACTGCTCTATTTTCTTTTGAACAATTTTTGTTCAATTTATCACAACTTGAAAGAAAAATAATAATATATACATAAAAGAAAGGTAATAAAAATTTATTTCTATAAGTATGTACAGTATATATGTATATACATACAAATAAAATAAAGATAGCTGCAAAATTGTATCCACCCTGTTACTACCATAGCAATAGTTACAAGAATTTTAACACAATATATTATTTTAAAATAATATGTAATCTTTTTTTTGTTTCCGTATTATTAAAATATGTAAACAAATCTAACGCCTTTTCTGAAATAGTTAATAATCCTAAATTTTCATTAAGGTGTAAAAAATTTCCAACTCCTAGATAATAAAGAATAGCAGATGGAGGAATATGTGAAATAATAGAATAACCTAAACTAGATAAGCATTAGTAAAATTGGATAAGAAAAATTTTTTGTTAGAGTACAAAAGATTATTTCTTATACGGATTATTAAGCAATAAGCTATTTTTGACAAAACGAACGTTTGTTTTGAATTTTCCTGATTGGTTAGATTAGGAATTTTGCATGGCAATATGCTAAAAATTATAATTTTTGATTAATTAGGTAAGTACTTGTATATTATAATATTATCAAAAAATCAAATATAAGATTTTTAAAAAAACTTTCATTAGCAAAATTTTAAATATAACTTAAAACCTCATTAGCTATTTTGAAATATAACCTTTTTACCCAATACCTACTTTTCAAATATAACCTTATTAAAAAAAAAAGATGATATTAGCGATTTTTCAAATATAACCTTTATATATATTATTCGGGGGCCTGATTATTCAGTTCATAGTAATAAATCTTATTAAATATATTAAGCTGAAACTCCAAATAAATTAAGAATTAGCCTTTTAAACGAGCCTTGCTAAGCAAAACTAGTAATTCTTGAATTTTAACACTTCAAATAACATGGCTTATTAGCTTTAGACTGAAGTTGAAACGATTATGCAATAATATGAAAGAATTAGCCTATATATTATCGAAGATCTCTGAGATGGATTTGAGATTTATTCTGGTAGAATGCTTCGAATTGGGATTGAAAAGGACAAGCCTTTATTAAAAATTTGTTGATATATATTATCGGTTTTATTACGTACAAACAATGCAAAGCTGTTATTCGGTTAGACTGACCTGTACGGGTCTGCCAGCCCACGGGTTATCACATTTTTACAAAAATTACGCAATTTTACAACTTTGAAACCAGTTTCAGTGTCGGTTATCTGACAGATTATAGTTGATCAACGTTAACGGAATGTGATATCATAGGAAGTATAATTTAAGTCGCAGATCTGATAATGATGCGTATATACGTATCTGCAGTAACTATTTCATAAGACTGCATTAAGCATTTAAAAGTAAGGCTGATCGTGACACCCAACCAAACACAAGATTTGATGACATCATCGGAAATTGAATTATACTCTTCGTTTTCACGACCAACATTTCTAACAGTGACTTCTTTAGAAGAATCACTTTTCCAATAATATTTTTTTTCTAGGAAAATATTTCTTTGACAATAGTCTTTAATGTTCATAGCAATGCGATACAATTCTAGTCTATATATTATAGTACAAGAGCATGTTGAGGAGCATCAAATGAATATTGGTCTAAATTATTTGTGCATTGTCAATATTGAACAAAACCAGTGATTATACGATAACAACTGATCAAGATCGCATTTAAGTTGTTACTGGAGATTAATCTAATTCCCTGTTGCTACTTTTGTCACTCTATTTCATCATAATATATTTTGTATTTTGCGGCCAATGTTTTCTGACATTCTATTTTGTCAATAAAATAATTGCTTTAATATAACTTCTGTTAACATTTTAGATTATATATTTTTAGTTAAAATGAATTGGTTGGCCAATAGAAAATTTTGGTTAGCGAATAAAGCAATAGTGCCTCTTTTTTATATATAAAGAATTTTTTTTTAATTTGCCATCGTTTAATAAATGAATTATTAAATTAAAGAGCTAAATATATTTCTACAATGATTTAATATTGTTTGATAGTAAAATTCTCAGCAGAACGATAGAAAAATAAACAAAATTTTAATAAAGCAATAGAATGCAGCACTGTTAATAACATATCAAATATTATAAATATTTTGGTTTATTAATTTCCTTTTAAAAATCTATATGTACATGTTTTTACAGAATATTAATATTATTAAGTATTTGCTTCAGGCATTTCTAGAGCAGGTTTTTTTTTATGCCTTCTATAAAACCAAATTCCAGCAGCAATTAAAATTCCAATTAAAAAAATGCTAACTACACCAATTCCCAATCCAATATATAATACTGCATTACTAATTAGAGCCATGCTGGTCTGTATTGGATCGGCTGATGTACTGGTCGGAGTTTGTTGATTTGTAATGGTTGCTGTTGGGTTATATAAATTATTTAAATTGTTTGGATTATTTAAATTATTTAAATTATTTAATGTGGTAATCCAGGCATAATTTTGTGTATCAAGAATATAAACGTTATTAGTATATGTTTCAACTGAATCAGTAATTCGACCTAGATATTATAAATATCGAATAACTTTTTAAAAATTTTCCATGACAAATAAAACCTTAATAATGCAACAATTACCAAATGCAATAACCATATAATCTCCATATAATGCGGCAGAATGATATGTGAGTGGTGGTGGTGAGTTAATTTGAAGAATATTTGGAATAAACCAAACCCAAGTATTTGTGTCTAATACTGCAAGATCAGGTATCGATTGTGGACCACTTTCATTTGATATTGAACCTCCATAAACGATGATATTATTATCTTTAGCTGATAGAAAAAAATTAAATTATAAATTATAAATTAGATATAATTAATGTTTTTTGTTTTTAATTAATAAATTTACATACTTAAAACAGCTGAATGTCCAACACGAACATTGATAAAAGCACCAGTAGCTATCTAAAAAGACATATATTCATAAAAGTGTGCTAATTAATAAATATAATAATATTGATATTAATCAAAATACTTTAATAGACCAGGTATAGGATTGCGTGTTAAATATCCGAAT